AAATAATGTATGACACATGTAATGTGTGCTTACAGTTAGTTATATGTCTTTCCACTTGGGTATGCAAAATAGGCAAGATTTTCCTAAAATTAGGTGAATGTCAATAGGCTAGAGTCCTTAGTGGCCAAAAGTTACTCAGTGTTGCTTTAAAATCAGCATTTTGGGAATAACTGTTAAAAAAAATAAATCAAAGCTCCATTGTGATCCCCCTAGGAGGTGAAACCCTAATAGACTTTTGTGTGTTTCTGTGTGTGTGTCCACAGATATGATCCATGACTGGGAACTGTACAATATCCAGCAGGATATGGATCCAGAGGAGGTCAGACGTAGCACAGAGATGGCCCAAGAGATGATATCGTGGATCAGACAGCTGGACTTGTCCACACAGGAGCCCATTGCCAGGAATGAAGCAACAAAGGCCCATGAATGTGAGGAATAAATCCTATTCAATGCAAACGAAAGGTGAAATTTTGTCCATGTACAAAGATTTGCCTCTTCAAAGTGTTCACTGAGGGGAGCTGTAGTTGGTTCGATTCACCATTTCATTTCATTAAACCTTTATAGGGCAAGTTAGCTCTTTTGATCACTTGCATACTCCTTACAAATTGGGTCCTCCCGTCCCTCAGTGAGGTCTAGAAACACAAGATCTATATCCAGCCATTCAGGAAAGTTCCTGCTACATGGCTGTACATCTTATTTTGGCATTTGACCAATTAGATGAGCCCTTGAATGATATATTACAGTGTGAGCTGCAGCGGCGTGCAACGATTGAGAAAATCGTTATGTTGTACCAAACAAATGTGGGTTTTTTCCAAGTAAGTATTTCACTGAGTGCTTAGTTTGGGTAACTTTAACTACCACAGCTAATGAATCAATATTGTCCCATGAAAACTAGCTGTAGTGAATGAACATTTGATCGTTATTTATGCAGTGCTGGCGCGTATTCGCCAAATGGAGAAGAAGCTGATGATCACAGAGAACCGCCTGCCTTCAATCAGAGAGATCCTGTCCCGTTTCTCCAGTCGACTCTCGGAGGCTGAGAAATTTCTCCTTGATGCAGCTGGAACTGTGCAGGAAGCAGAGGACAAGAACAAAGCCAGCCTGCTCAAGTTCCAAAGGAAGGAGGTGGTTTATCTTGCAGCAACACATCTGTTCTGGTTTTTGATGTTTGCACCGGTGGTTGTAACGCTGTAGTTAAGATAGGTCCTAACATAAAGCCATGACCCCTATCTTGACTTTCCATTTTGTTGCACATGTTTGAGCCGTCTGTTATCAGTTCATCTTAAGTGGTGAGAACAGAAACATTAAACCATATGTGGGAGTTGGTCTGCAATGCACAAGTTTGCTCTCATGATGTCATCTCCATATGAGCAAAGCTTGAGATTCCCACAGAGAAGCCAGCTGAATCACAGGCAGATTCTTTCTTCATGAGGGGAAAATGCAAATGAAGACAGTAAAAGTCAATGTTTGGGAACCATCTAAGCCACTAACAGGATACCTTCCTTTTCCTTGTTCCAAATAAAAGCTAAATCAAGACAAATAGGAGTCCATCGTCATGAATGCTAGCTGCCTGAAATGGTGTGTCTTCAAAGGTTTCTGATAAACCCAAAGTAAAGCTGACCACTTAGAACCAGCCCAGGAGTTAGCATGGCTATTGCTGTCCCTACATAGTTAGCATGGCTATT